AACAGTAGTGCTAAATTGAGCCACCATACCTGTCATTAAAACATAAAAACCCTGTTTGGATTTGTCACGTTGTGTGGGACTCGGTGTACCTTCTGACACACACACACACACACACACACACACACACACAGGCTTATTATCATAACCTGTCTTTTGTTAGAAGACTGTTTCAATAACAATAATAGGGTATGCTTATAGTGGCATTAAGACCCAAGCAGCTCGCCAAGAAAGTCCTGCTCTCAAGGAGATTTTTTATATATTTTTATATATATATGTATATATATATATAGATATATAGATAGATATATGGTGGTGGCTAACCAACCGGACATAGTGGTGGTAGACAAACATGAGAAGACGGCCGTAGTGATCGATATAGCGGTTCCGAATGACAGCAACATCAGGAAGAAAGAACACGAGAAGCTCGAGAAATACCAAGGGCTCAGAGAAGAGCTCGAGAGGATGTGGAGGGTGAAGGTGACGGTGGTCCCAGTAGTAATCGGAGCACTAGGTGCAGTGACTCCCAAGCTAGGCGAGTGGCTCCAGCAGATCCCGGGAACAACAGCGGAGATCTCTGTCCAGAAGAGCGCAGTCCTAGGAACAGCTAAGATACTGCGCAGGACTCTCAAGCTCCCAGGCCTCTGGTAGAGGACCCGAGCTTGAAGGATTGACCGCCCACACGGGCAAGTGGGGAATTTAATATATAAAAATATATATATAAGTATATACAAACACATATTTATCTTTGTCTGTTGCTTCTGAGGCCCCTCAGCCCAGATTTTCCTCATGGTTTCCCGTCAGTGATTTGGATGAATGCTTGTTGTTTTGCAGGCAGAGGTGAAGGGAATCTGATTGTTGTTTGGCTCTGCTAATTGGCCATGTGGTCATTAGTGACCTGGTTGGCTAGCAATGCCAAACTCACTTACTGTGTTCCAGATACAAGGACAGCATCAGGTTGTGTGTGCACACAAACACACTAAACTGTGCCTTGTATCTACTTTTGGACAGATTTAGCGTTGCATATTGTAAGACACATTACAACTTGCAGTCTTCAGTGAAGCAATAATTAATACGAAGAAAATGTAAACACATTTTTATGTAAACAATAAGTCTACCTTTTAAAACCTTCAAATTGATGTTTTTTTTTTTTCTTCTTCAGTGTGTCTAATCTAGACTTGCATACATTATGAATCAAGTCTCACAAATAACCTGTTAAATAAAACTTTAAAAGTCCGCTGTGTTGGACTACAACTCATAGTCTGTGTTCTTAGTCAACTCGGTGTCATAGCAAATGAACATGAACTTCAAAGGTGCAGTTGGAATCTGTCCCACCGCAGGTCAAGATCAGACCACCAAGGTCACTAGTGATTCTAAGCGTTATTGAGAGCTTAGGCAAAAATTCACAGGGGGTCACCTTTAACCAGGGACCAGTACCGTTATGTTGCAAAATTGGCTTAACTCAATTCAATCTCATAACAGCCAACAGAGTTCCTCTTCTAGCTAAGTTAACCAATGTACTAATATGAAGTTAAGTAATGTTAAGAATCACCACTTAAATCTGATTTACAAATATAATAAAAAAAAAAAAACATCAGCTGTGTAAGTTATACTTCATCTACCATTTTTGTTATTTGTTTCCATGGATTTTCGATTCTTTACCCTACCGCCTAGTGGTGCTGGCCAGGGGGGCCGATGGCACGGCCCCCCTGGCCAGCTACACTTATAGCCACAGCTGCCCCAGGGCAGCTGTGGCTATAAGTGTAGCTTGCCTCCACTAGTGTGTGAATGCGAGAGTGAATGAATAGTGGAATTGTAAAGCGCTTTAGGTGCCTTGAAAAGCGCTATATAAATGCAATCCATTATTGTAACCTGATACTCCTTCTAGTATGTGTATGTGTGTATGTATCTATAAAGTGTAAAACGGGTGGTTACCACAGATACAGTCACAACTAACCAAGGTGGGTTAACTGTGCTTTGAGGTGGGGAAAGAGAACAAGGAGAAGACATGAGAATGAAAATGGTTTTGCTTCCCTAATAGGACCGACAGTGAAAACCAAAAATGTTTAATTAACTTATTAATTAGCATATTATCGTCATATAGTGTAATCTGAATTTGGTTGTCTCTGTTAATGTGACATTTCTAACAGCTGCTGTTTATAAAATGTAAATTTATAATTTATATAAATTTACATTTTATAAACCATTTGTCTTATGACAGTAAGACCGTAAGCCATGATATAACTTTGTGTATATATATATATATATATATTTAAGTATCATAATGCAACATGTGGTAGCTTGACATGCTTTTTAAAATATAGGTCAGTATTACAGTCTATGACCAGAATCCTTGTCACCATTCTCTGTGTCCTCATTAACAGAATACCACAGCACCCAAATAATCCCTCTAATACAATCTGGGTGGTGGATAATCTCTGAATACCAACTGGACTGCCTGAAGGGTTTTTGATGGGGAAACAAAACAAGCGAGAACTCTACAGAGCAAAGATCTGTTTTACAACCAAGGCTTGAAAGAAATGATTTGATTCAGGGTATAGTGTCTCCAAAAGATACAAGCCTTGTAAACTACACCATAATTACAGCCAGTGCTCACTTTGCAATTTTTCCTGAGGGTTTTAAATTTTCACTCATTTTATCTGAAACATTTCGGTAAGCCCTAAAAGCACAGCGTGACAGGGTGAAGCATGAGTCTGTTTTCATGTCCTGCTGTGTGTTCTGTTGTGCTACATCTGAGGCTTGGTTACTGGTCAGTGGAACATGAGCTAAATCTAACTGTACAGATGCTGTCAGTCGAGGGGAAGGATACATTTGTTTTTCATTTCTTTTGCACTCTCTTTCCCCGAAGCACCCAATATCCATGGACCTGGTTTTCTGGGCTAAATCTGGTCGGGTAGTCGTGGCCTCTAAAAAGTCCCAGTCTTTACATGTACACTTGGCTGAACAATGGCAATTAATCTTTTCAGGCTATTACAACAGATTGAATACAGCTTATTTGCAACCATTCACTAAATCACACTAACCAATTTACTTCTGATTAGAGTCTAAAATCAGATGAAATTTGGTTCCTAAGAGACAACCAGCCATTGTTTCAAAAGTGCAGACATGTTGATTTTTATTTGGTTGTGATTCTTCTGGTTCCTGCTCATTATTTTAAATCACGAGACTTTGACTGCCTTTCTCCTAGCTTTAATTTGTGCTTTATGGACTGGATTTTGGTCCTTACTCTTATACACTTGACTGACTTTAATAAATACTGCACTATAGATTTTAATCTGTTTAGAGAGATGGGTTAATCTTTACTTTACTGATCCCACAAGGGAAATTGTTGTGTTACAGCAGCAGGATAAAGAATAAAATACAATCTACAACAAACAGCATTAAGTAAAAGTCCTCCAGGTACATAGTGAGGGTCTTATACTGTCAGAAAAACAATTTATGTATGCAACAGATTTTTAAAAAAGAAAAGAAAAATTGGGTTAAGTTAAAGAAGAGTAAAAGGTACGATTAAGAGAGTAGATAGTAGAGCAAAGTGCATTAATAAATAATATGTGCACTATAAATCTAAGAAACAGCTGTAGAAAGATATAATACAGAAAGCTGAGTTAAGGTGTTGCTCCACAGACAGATATCAGGTTGTTTTTAACCTTTGTCACTGCGAACATATGTTTAGCATCATCATCATGGCCTGCTTACTTAAGTTTCCAAAAAAAAAAA